CACTGACAGCAGCCAAATGGTGTACTAGGAGAGCATCTGTCTCCACAGACGTGGGTTCCCTGCAGCACACTACCTGCTGAGGATTGAGTTGGGGAAGCTCTTCCCAACCATGGCTCTTTGTGGTTCCTGGAGTCTTCCGCTGCTTGTCTGGCATGTTCAGCTTAACGTGAGATGTCAGACTGTGTGCTTTTTATTGAACATTGGAGAGAAAACTCTGTGCAAAATTCTAGGACACAAAAGGATTCTGCAAGTGGAGGCATGAATTGGGTTTCTCCCAGGTACATTGAAGGACTCATAATTTGAGCCTAGAATGGTAAAGGTGAAGGGTGTGTCATCACTCCACAGTGCCAGAGGGGCTTATAACCTCAGAACCTCTACCAATTATTAGTACTTATTGAAACTTAGCATGTGCCAGGCATGATATTAAGTACATTATGTGCATCGTAAGAGCTGCTTGGAAGTCTTTAAGTCCAGCATCCGAGCCCACAGAGGGTTTCTGTTGACTGCTTTTTGTTTTTCTTGGATATAGGTCACACTTTCCAGTTTCTTTGCGTGTCTCGTAATTTTTTGTTGAAAGCTGGCCATTTTCAATAATATAAAACTGCCTCTAAATTCTGCTCTTCTCCCAGTTACGTGGTAACTTATCTGAACTAGGGTTATGGAGTCTGGCTCCCCCACGTTGTGAGACTGCTGCCATCTCTTTTCAGTTTGTTTCACTCTTGTTTTTATTATAAATTGTGGTTTCTCAAGAGTTGCCCCTGTGTCAGCACAGCTTAGTGGTCAGGAGAGGTTGTGGTCAAACATTTTGAATCTGTGAAGCTTTTATCTAATCCTTACGGTACACTGTGTGGGTTGGAAAATGTATTCGACATTCAGGCATTTACAGTGTGCCACAGATTTTACTTTCTGTGTGGCTCTTTCACATGTTTTCTGCCTGTGCACATGGCCTTATATTTAAGTAGGGTTATATACATGCCTAAGGCTCTCTCAGTCCCTCCTGTGCATGCGTTGTAGCCTTCCAGATTGCCAGGAGTCTATGGGAGGCTCTCAAGGCCCACCATGACTGTCCTATTCCCTATAGCTCCTTGTTATAGGGACCTGGCTAGTCACTGGCCCATTGCTTGCCCCTCTCAGGGTAACAGTCTTAGGCTAGCTGTGCCATTGACTTTCTCCATTTGTTTGCTGCCAAGAGCACTACTGTTTCTGACAGTGTTCCTGGGTGTGGGATTTCCCCTTACTTTGATCCTTGTAAGTGAACCCCTTCTGGCAGCAAAGTGGATGGTTTTCACAGCTTGCCTCGCCCTGGTAGGACCTCTGCAGTGACAGAGCTTAGTGGGGAGTGGAAGGGTCTTGGCCATGATTGCCATAAACTCCCACTCTTCTTAAAGGCCCAGTAGTTTCTCTTGAATAAATGTTTCTCAATTTGCTGCATCCCCTTGCTCAATTTCCAGAGTATCAAAGTTGTTGTTTTTGAAAAACTGTATCCATGTCTGTCATTGTTTTGCGGGGAGAGGATTTGTCAAGCTCCTTGTACTGACATTCTGGAAGTCTCACTCCTACACACTACTTTCGTGGTCTCATTAAACTGCCCCCACATCCTTGTAGCATAGGCGTGACTACTCCTATTCTAGAACAGGGCACCAAGAGGACCCGAGAGGAGGAGCGGGGTGCTCAGGGTCCCACAGCTAGCGAAAGCTGGAGCTGTACTGGATCGCAGCGTCCGAGGGCAGAGAACAGGCTGAGTTCTCTGATTCCCTGGGGTTGTGTCATGTGATGTTTGACAAGTCCTTTCATTGCACTCGACCTCACTTTCTTTCTCTATAAAATGGGCATAAAACTTCCTAAGATAGTCACAGAAGTTTGAAAATTAGATGAGTTATGGGTAAAGCACTCAGAGCAGTGCTCAGACCCCAAAACACAAGGGAAAACTCTTTTTTTGGAAGCAAAATGGCCAACATTTTACTCAGCCTTCCATGCCGAGAGGTTTTACCTCAACTGTTGGGACAATTCAGATGGGTTAGCTGATTCCATAAAGATGCGGAACAAGGAAGAAATTTCTTACAGTCACCTGGATTCTTGCCCTGTCATCCACCAACTGGCTGTTGGGCAGTGATTATATTAGGTAGAAACAAATGAAATCACTGGTATTTCACCTAAGCAAGTGACAGTCTCATATGGCTCGATGTAAGAGTAATATTAATGTTGATAATGAGAGCAGCTGAGTACAAAGTCACTGACAAAGTCATTTTCATGTACGTATCCTCAGTTAATTGTCCCAGCCCCTGTACAGTCTAGGCAGGGAATGTTAGCATCATCTTGCAGGTGAGGAAAATGAGGGTCAGAAGCACAGTTCAGTGCCCGCAGCCACCTGTTCACTCTGTCACTTGCACCTAAGCGTCCTTATCTGTACAGTGAGGTCAACAGGACAGAATATCTCCGTGAGGCCTAATGTGCTTGGCTACACAGACATCTAAAGGGCTCTAAGAAAGCAGGGAGACGGAGAAGAATCCCTGGATCTTGTGGGGCCGGTTGTGTGTTTCGGCCGTGTTTGGGGTACACCTGAGAAATGGAAGCTTAGTCCGCATTCTGCAGCACCACTGCCATCTTATCCAAGCGAGAGGCCGATAGGACCAGCTCCGGGACATCAGGACGGGCTCAGGATGTTTACTGAGTGCCTACTGTATGCAGCTATTTTGTGAAGCCCTCCACAAGCACAGCCACAGAGTCTTCCATCATAGGTGCCATTATTTCCCCCCATTGTTCTGAAGAGGAGCCTGCAGCTCAGAGTAAAATGCTTGTCCAGGGTCACACAGTTCGTGAGTGGTTAAACGAGAATCTCAGTCCAGGTGGATCTAACTCCACATCCTGATTTTTTCCTCCCACACGTGGGCTCTGGGCATTAACTCCAAAGTAGGTTAGAAAATTGTCACCAGCTGTAGGCTTCATTGCTTTTCCATCCGTCCATCTTGTTTTCAGCCAATGTTTATTTTGTTTTCTTCTTGTGCAGAGAGAAAAAAAAATGTTGTAGTCTGGATATGTTGGTTTTATGCATTCTGCTGCCTGTAGCTCCCTTGGAACATTTTTGGCTAAAATGTAATAAGTGAAACCACTGAATTTTTGGAGGGGGCGCTATGGAATGTTCCTCTCAGAGGTCAGAGGAGGAAACCTCCCCCCAGATTACAGCCTCAGAGTAGACTTTTAATAAGCATTTTTTTTTTTTTTTTTTTGTATCTTAGGAAGTTTTCTGTGATGCCGATGACCCATGGAATTGAAACTCATCTACCAGATTACTCTGTCTCATAACACCTTTTGCTTCTTTGAGTGTCGCAATTACTTTTCTGACAGCTTATTCTGAAGATAGACTTTGTGATTTCCGGTGAATGGAAGGTCCGTGAGGGGGTGGTGTGAGGGTGCAGCGGGAGGAGAATTGGCAGTCACCAGGGAACCAGGCACGACCTGCATTCATCTGAGGGTACGGATCTCTGGCAGGCTTGTTTCAGAGCCTGCAGGCCTAGACGACAAGAGGAAAATTCCATTAAATGGCTGGTGGTTTGGCTAAGGCTGCATCCAGGGATCTCTGAGTGAATTTGTTTCTCCTGGAGGGGGTGGCCTTTCTCCACACTCCCCCCCAACCCTGCCCCGCTTCTACCCTCACTGGGTCTCTCTTGCCGGGCGTCCCCTCATTCAGTCATAATTATTGAGCTCCTGCTGTATGCATAGAGCAGTACCAGGTGCAGTGGAGGAAACGGGTGAATTAGACACAGGCTCTCCCTCCCTAACCTAGGTCAGGAACACAGGGTTAAAGGCCACGTCATTTATTCACATATTTGGGAGAGTGAGGCCGTCTCTGGCACATGTGATGAGAAGGACAGGGTGCTGGGGAGGCTGTCACGGGGGACACAGCAGGTAAATTCCCCAGTAGCCTAGGGCCCTCTGCAGCTGTCTTGGGCCTGGGAAGCAGTCGAGACGTAGGTGTTGCAGTGTGGCCCGACACACCTTGGTTCGAGTCTGGTTCGGCCCATGTGTAACTTATAACCTTGGGGAAATGCTTTCGTTCTGTGTTTTTAAAATGGGGGTAAAACATAGGTAACATAAACTTTGCCATTTTAACCATTTTTAGGCGTGCAGTTCAGTGGTATTAAGTGTATTCACACTGCTGTACAGCCATCACCTCCATCCACCTCCTGAATCCCTTCGTCCTGTAAAACTGAAACTGTACCCAGTAAACACTAACCCCGCCCCCCCCAAGCCCCTGGCAGCCACCATTCTACTTTCTGTCTCTATGAATTCGGCTGCTCTACGGACCTTATGTAAGTGGAATCACAGTATTTGTCCTTTTGTGTTCGGCGTATTGTACTTAGCATAATGTCCTCGGGGTTCATCCATGTTGTAGCATGTGTCAGAATTTCCTTCCCTTTCGAAGCTGATTAATATTCCGTTGGGTGTATACACCACGTTTTCTTTATCCATCCGTCTGTTGACGGACACTTGGGTTACTTCTACCTTTTGGCCACTGTGAATGACACTGGCATGAATATGAGTGTGTGCGAGTATCTGTTCAAGTCCCTGCTTTCACTTTTTTGGGTATATATCCAGAAGTGGAATTTCTAGATCATATAGTAACTGCATGTTTAATTTTTCGAGGAACTGCCATAGTGTTTTCCGTAGCAGACACGTCCTCCATTTAGTTTTGCATCTGTGGTTTTCTCCTCTATGAAATGGGCGTGGTAGTATGACGACCCACCTAGGGTTGCTGTGAGGCTGAAATGAGGTGGTGTCTGTGAAGGTCCCAGCAGAGTGGACGGCACACAGTAGGTGCCTAGTACGTGCTCATCCTCTACACTTACCTGGGGAGGTGGAGCTCTGTTAGCTCACAGACACGTGGGGTCACCCTCTCTCTCCCGGTGTATCCCTCAGCCATGCAGCCAGCTGGCCTTCCACTTTGGGAGTCTCCTGCCCTCAGTCTGTCTTCCTCTCTCTAACTCTCCTCTTTTTCCCAGGCTGTGGCAGAGCTCCTGCAGACCCTGGATCTGGAGAAGAAGACAGTGGCCGTGGGGCACAGCCAGGTGAGTAGAGCTTCTTCCTTTTACCGTTCTACCCATGACATCAGGGACGCACGTAAGACCTGAGTCTTGTCCTTCCTCAGCATCCACTACTTCTGTGTGTCTCCTTTCCACCAGACAGGGCTGAACACAGGGCTAAGTGATTTCTGCCCTTGTTATGTGACAAGGCTGTAAAGACAAAATGTTATAATGTGGGAGGAAATAACATTGGGGAATATCATTTATTAGAGGTAACATTCCCAGGGACCTCAGTGGTCTGGAGAATTAACATCTGGACTTCAGGTAGGACTTTCGGAACTTCAGAAACACCCATCGTCACTCCGAGCCTTGTAACTTTTGCTTTGCAACCAACTGTAACGCAACAGTAGTCCTAGCGGATTAGCAGCAGTAAGTGAAAGGAGAGGGCACGAGAAGAAGGTACATGTTTTTAGGTCTGAGAGACGTAGATTTCTCCAAGCTGGTGTTGAGCCAAAAGCCCTTCCAGAAAAGTTGAAACGTCTAGAGAAGAATTTCATGGAGCCCTAATATGCTCATACATCTTATAAGTTTTCAAGAGGGAAAATATAGTGTTTAGGGCTCCCCAAATGATCTGACCCTGGGACCGTCACCGTTTTGTTTTTGTGGAAGACCCATTAACACCGCCCAGAACTAGTGTTCCCTGGGTCATAGTGTGGGGAGTGGGGAACAGAGGTTGGAAACTCAAGGACCAGGAGGAGGGCAGGGGAGTAGGGACAGCGTTTAGAAATACAAACTGGAGAGAGAAGAGACCAAGGGACCACCTCCCCACTTACTTATCTACTGATTGATTAATGGCACCCAGGAAACCTTTGTCAATTAATTGCCTTCCACGTTCAGGTACCGTGTAAAGTGTTGGTGGCATTATTGCCCATTAGTACCTCTTGCAAAGTGAAGTGTGCTGCCCCATCACACCTCTTTCCTCGGAGAGCTCACAGTCATTCACGCTGGTCATTGCTCCCTAGACACACTAGCCTCTCCCCGCAGGCTTCTTGGTCCTTCTACAGCCTGTGGTTGAAGCTGTTAGTCTGCTGTGCTTCCAACCTGATTGATCCTGCCGGGAGCTGGCAGCAACTCTGTGGACATTTCCAGTAGAGGAGATAAGCCCCTGGGTTACTGGGCTCCCACCACAAGCCTGGTGCTATGCTAGGCAAATTCATATATTATTCCTCTTTTCCCTCACAGTCTCTCGAGATAATTACAGTATCCCTTCTTCACAGATGAGGAAAATGTACCTCTGGGAAGTCAGCCCCTTTTCCAGGTCCTCTAGGGAGCCAGGAGCACAGCTCCCATGGAAACCTGTACTGGTCCAACCCCCAAGTTCTCTTCAATACGCTGTGGGTTCTGTTGTTTATTAATGGAAATATACAGCAAATTCTTTACACACAGATGTTTATGGTCTTGAATCAGAGGAATTCTTCTTCAGCTCCAAGAACTTCATCCTTCTAGACCAGTGGTTCTCAAAGTGTGGTCCCTAGACCGGCTGCAGCAGCATCACCCGAGAGCTTCCCGGAAACAGAACTCTCAGGCGCCGCCCCAGACCTACTGATTCGGAAACTCTGGGGATGGAACCCTGCAGTCTCGGTTGTAACATGCCCTGTAGGGGATTCCAGTATATGCTCAAGTTTGAGAACTACTGTTTAGATAAATTACTTAGTTATTTCATGCATTTCAAAATCAGTCCCTGTGATCCCATCAGCTATTGAAGAGCAGGGAAGAAAACAGCAAGATGAAAAGTCACTATACAAAGTCTCACAGTGGCGAGGCAAGATGTCTACCAGCCGAAAACATCCCCATAATAAAACATTATTATTATTAATACTTGGCATTCACTAAGAAACTGTCCAGAGCAAATCAAGGTCACTGTGCCCTTTGGGAAGCCAGGCAAGGCAATAGACTGAGATCTTTAAGGGCAGATGCAACTCTCATGCTTTGCAGGGTTCGGCACTTAATAGGTGGGAAGGCTGTGAATAGGGGAAGAGAACAGGCTGACCTGGTCCACACCCAGGCCCCACCACTGCCTGTGTGAATCTTGAGTAAGTGATTTAGCCTCTCTGAGCCTCAGTTCCTGCATCTGTAAAATGGACCCACTGCTCTCTACCCCCCAAGCTGGCTGTGGGACTCAGTAAATTGTCCTTCAACAGGGGCTGGCTGTCATCATTTGTGGCAGGCATTTGCCAACGGGGCCAGGATGCTTGTCAAACAGGATAGCGTTTTAATGTTTAAAGAATTAAACTCCTCTAATCAGGAAAATTACTAAGAGGCGGGTAGCTAATTCCTCAGCAATACCAGAAAGGAGAGTGGTTGCCATATTAGATTTTTAAACCTTGGCTTGCCTAACTGGCTTCCAGAGATCCCTTAAAGATAGGGATGTTGGGATGTTACACTCTGCGTGGGCCCGATAAGCAGCTGGACCCCTGAAAAGTGAATAATTTAGACTTTTCTTTGTGATTCTCAGCCCCCGGTACCTTATCGAAGCCTGTGCCGAGGGCCATGACATTTATGAAAAAGGTGGGATTCCACATGCCGTCGGCCTTCTGGTCGGAGTATGCTCTTAAAAGGAAAAGAAAATAAATCAAGCTAAGATTCTGCAGCGGCGATGACTTACTCCCACTCTGCGTATGGTCGTTTCCAATTATCTTTTTAATGAAAGCCTCATACTTAATCAGTAACGGTTTTGGCGGCACTCGCTGCCTTTTGTAACGTATGGACTAGCGCCGTCATCACTTTGATCATTGATTTTTTTTTTATAGCAGCTTTTGGGACTCACTAGCTTGTGAAATTAATGCAGTCATTATTGAAGCAATCTGATAGGTAATGAGTCAATCGTGTGTTTATTTCAATGAGGCTAATTGTCTTGGTGGTCCTGGCTGATAGTGTTCTGTAAAGCGATGGAGGGTTGCAAAACAGAGTTAGCACTGATTGGCTGCGCTAATTTCCATTCTCCCTCTGAGAAAAAGCTTACTGTGGGATTAGCAGAGTGGTCTTCATTACAGAAAATAGGTTTAAGGGAATGGAGAATCGATTGAGACCCTTTGTTCCACCTGGAATCAAATTGCATTTCAGCCTCAAACTCCCGGTGTTTGGATCATGTGAGCGAGGAAGTGAAGCTTCTTGCCGATGTTGAGAACGGGTACAGGGCGTGGACTTGAGGTCCTGGGTTCGAGTCTCAGCTTTGCTGACCACCAGCTCTGTGAACTTGAGTCAGTGACACAGCTTCCTTGAGCTGACAGATTCCTCGTGGGACTGTTCTGCATATTAAAATGGGACATAGGAGAAAGAGCTTTGAAAAATTTAGATGCCATGCAAATGTTAATTACATTCAGTGACAATTGTAGTCTCGTCTGGAGTCAGAGAGAGGGAAATAAATCCCGGTGTTACCACCTGCTGGTGGAGGGTTGTTGGCACATGCCTTTTTTAGCCTTAGTTTCTCCCTCCGTGAAATGGGGGGATTGTTGTAACTACCATGTAAGATTCTGCATGTAAAGTGCTTTGCCTGCATACCAAATGGTTAGTTCAGATCCAGAACACAGGAGGGCTCCATCAGTGTTAGCCATTGATTGATAATGTCATGGATTACTTGACAATGTCACTGATCAAGGTGGAGCTCACCAGTGGCTCCAGAGAAACTGAACACCTTTGGGGCTACAAGCCACATCTGGCAAAGAAACGCACAGGACTGTGCTTAGAAATAAGCGGCACCAAGGCGTCTGAAACGTAACCCTCCCCTGTCACCGACTCATACATATCCCAGCAGCAGAGTGTCTTTCCTTTGCCTCTGGGGAGGCGACAGCAGCTTTAATGACCCCACCGCGTTGGCCGGGGCAGGCCTGGCCCCAGAGCTTCTGGTTCCCTCTGAAAACCCTCCCGTGTTCCCTGCAGTCTCTTGGGGGCAGCTGCGAGGGTGCCGGGGAGGCAGTGATCACTTTGCTGCAGGGGCCCTCATCCATTATTGATGCACCAAGGCCTGGAAACTGTGTTTTCCGCTGTGTTCTGCTCAATGCCTACACCTCCCGCTGGTGGCACCCGCCAGGCCCCATCCCCTCCTGACCAAGGAGGGCTGCCCTCACTTCCCCCACATTCTCCGCCCCTCCTTATAAGGCAGGACCGAGTATTTCTGGGGTGGCGCTTGTCTCAGGGCCAACAGCACTTATCAAAAAAGAACGCACACCCAGGACTGACACCAAGCCCATGATTCTGCATATCCTGGGGTGGGGCCTGGGAATGTGCATTGACCACCTTCCCTGGGTGATTCCGGTGCACAGAGATGCTTAGGCGGGTCTGTCCTACCAGTGGTTCTCAAATGAGTGTGTGCATGAATCCCCTGGGGATTAAATGAAAATGCCAGTTCTGATTCCGCAGCTCTGGGGTGGGGCCTGAGATGTTGCGTTTCTAACAAACTCCCAGGAGGTGACAATGACCATGCTAAGGTGCATGGACCACACCCTGAGCATCCAGGGGCCAGAAGAAGGGGAAGAGGAGGCATCAGGAGGCAAGATGCTCTGACCATTTAGACCCCCAGTCAAGGGCAGCTACTGACAGATACTTCGGGTAGGTCTAGGAGAACTGGGGTCTGAGCGGCAGCCCCTCCCACTTGAGGCAGTCTGATTCGGTGGCAGCGAAGTCACCCGCAGCCTTCTCTCCTTCCAGGTCTTCCTCAAGGCGGGCGTGGTCTCCAGGCTGGAGAAGCAGCGGGAGAAGCTGGTGTCTCACAGCATCATCTTGTTGCAGGCGGCTTGCAAGGGCTTTCTGTCTCGCCAGGAATTCAAGAAGCTGAAGGTGCGAGGGCCCAGGTGCCTTGTGAACCTGGCAGGGGCGTGGGATCGGGGAAAAGCACCATCTGTGCTGGTCTGGGGGCTGTAATCCCTGCTTCTCACGCTTCCTCTTGTGCACGAATCTCCAGTGGGATGTTAACGTGTGGATTCTGGTCCAGTGGGTCTGGGGTGAGCACGGGGTCTGCCCGTCTCCCATGATGGTGCCAGTGCGGCTGGTCCACAGACCCACCCCGAGTGGTCAGACTTTAATAGACACTTTGTAAGATGATATGATTGTTCTAGGACACTGACATCAAATCACCACCGACGTTAGCCTTGGTCAGGATATCCACGAGGTTGTCCAAGCCCTCCTGGGTTGGAAATGGTTTCAACCGGTCCCATCTCTGGAGAACTTGGCTTTCATGGGTCAGCAGAGAGCACGTGGGCAGGACCTGGCCACAGAGGCCTTTGGGACCAGAGGGCAAGGTCAGAGTCCTCAGTCCTGAACCACCCTGGGCCACCATCCTCAGACATATCCGGAGACTGAGTCTCCTTTCTGTAGCCTGCATGATGGAGAAAGGCAGCACAGCTCTGGAGACACACAGGAAGCATGTTCGAATCCCATCTGTACCACATAGTACCTGAGTGGAGGTGACATGAGATAATGTGCACGTAGTACAGTACGTGGCTCATCGTTACTGCTCGGTAAATACCAGCTGCCATTGCCTTAGTGTTGTCGTTGTTAATTACTGCCACCAGAATGAGTCTCAGCGCACATGCCTCCAGCTTATGTGAATTGGTAAATTCCCTTGTACATACTTGGTAAGAACAGAAAAAGGCAAGAACATTAATAGTGAAAATACTGTAGGCAGTTTTACCAGCGCACTGCACTCAGGTAGTTTATGCCTTGGGATGATTTGAAATAGAGGTTAATTAAGCGCCTGGGCTGTGTCTGCAGCCAGACTGCAGGGGTTCATATCCTAACACTGCCACTGAGAAGCTGTGTGGCACTGGGCATGTAACTGTACCTCTCTGTGCCTCAGTTTTCCCATCTAAAATGGAGATAATAGCAACACCTACCTTCACAGGGCTGTAGTGAGGACTAAGCTGGTGCGTGTAAGATGCTCTGGGCAGTGTATGGCCCGTAGGAGGCGCTGTGCCAGCTGTACGAGCCTTGGCTGTTGTGATGGTGGCAAAGGGAAAGGACCTCTGGCTTCTTAGTCAGCTTGATTCCCACCTATGGTAAGAATGCACTAGGTCAGCGGTTCTCGAAGTGTGGTGCCCGGACCTGCATTGTGAGTAATGCAGGTTCTCGGGCCCCACCCCAGACTCACTGAATCCGACCCTCTGGGGTAGAGCCCAGCCGCCTGTGTTTTAACAAGCATTCCAGGAGATTCCGGTGCACACTGAAGAGTGGGAAGCATGGAATTTGTGTTTAAATGCGCTTAAAATAATATCCCTTCCTTAAATATCAACTAGCGACATAATCGTGGCCACTGTTTCTCGCGGGCAGTGTCAGGGATTTTTGAGGATAGTTTTTGCCTTGCACAGTGACTTTTGAGCCTGATCCCCATGTAAGAGGTGACCCTGTTGTTTTATATAATATTTTGTACTCCTTGTCCTATTATTATTGTTATTAGATTATGCAAGATTAAACTGTGGCCTAATATTGATGCCAGGAGCCTGACTCCATGAAAGGAAGGTTTTGTTTTTTTTTTAAGTTTACCCAATCCCTTCCACTAGGATAAATCCATTTCCTGTACCCCCTTTGCCACCCTCTGCCTCCTTCAACTGGGCTGGGAAAGGCCCTTCAGTTTCCACTCTCCCTCCCCTGCAGATTCACCGGCTGGCTGCCCAGTGCATCCAGAAGAATGTGGCTGTATTCCTGGCGGTCAAGGACTGGCCGTGGTGGCAGCTCCTGGGCTCCCTTCGGCCCCTGCTGAGTGCCACCATTGGGGAGGAGCAGCTCCGCGCCAAGGAGGTGGGTCCACAGGGCAGGCAGGGCGCCTCCCTCCGCCCCGCCCCTTAGTGTTTGCATCCAGACCCAGTGCCCCACCCCTTGAAATTCTTCATCTGGGAATGCTCCACCAACAGCCCTCGCTGCCCCCTTGCAGATATCCCTCTGCTCCCTTCGACACAGACCTCCCTCCACCATGTGGCCAGCTCCTCTGTGGGCTAGTGGGTGCTGGTCAGAGGCGCCATCACCACCTCGGGGGCGTGCAAACGCTCGCTCACTGCTCATCCGGGAGACTCAAGGGGAGAGTTTTTGAGTCCTTTATCTTCTTATCTCTCAGGGGGCATTCCCCTTACTCTCCCTTCTACCCTATTAGCACCCACCTGTTATAGATAACTGCTCTGATTGGTTTCTGGTTTATCCTGCCTGTTGTTCCTTTTTGCAAAAATTAGCAAATACAGGCATTTCTCAGAGATAGTGCAGGTTCAGTTCCAGACCACCGAGATAAAGTGGGTATCACAATAAAGTGAGTCACGTGAATTTGGTGGCTTCCCAGAGCCTACAAAAGTTGACACTATACTTTAGTCTATTAAGTGTGCGATAGCATTCTGTCTAAAAAAACAGCATACGTACCTTAATTGAAAAATAATGCTGTTGGAAAAAATGCACCAGTAGACTTGCTCAACACAGGGTTGCCACCAACCTTCAATTTGTAAAAAAATGCAATGTCTGCAAAGTGCAATAAAGCCCAGCTCAGTGAAACAAGGTATGCCTGTATACACACACACACACACACACTAAACTAATGGTTCCTTTCTTTTTTACACAAAAGGTAGCATACTATGTTTTCTTCTGCAACTTGCATTTTTCACTTCAAAATATATTTTAAGAATCATGGCATGTCTATTGTTTTGGATTTTCTTTAAAAAAATGTTTTAACTGAAGTATATTGGACCTGCAACATTGTGAATTTAAGGTGTGCAACATGTTAATGTGATACATTTATATATCGTCACACGATTCCCATTTTTAAAGAAGTCTTCCTTGTTCCCTTTTCATGGCCACATAGGCCTCCTTGGTGTGTGTGTTTCATGGTTCACTCCACCAGCCTTCAGTGCGTGGGCATTTCAGTTGCTCCTAATGGTGGTATTGTAAACCTCGTGCTGACCCACTGGCCAAAAAGTGATAATTAGGGAAGACAAAGAGCTGAGCACCCGTCTCACTCGGGCGTGCCCAGTCTCAGGATAAGCAGCGGTCCTGTTCTGAGTATTTGCATTCAGCCCCTAGACTGGGCTGGTATAGACCAGACTTGCGTGAGCAGAGACATTGCTATTCAGAAATGGTCAAAGAAAACATCCCTCGTAGGAACTTGGCATCTGGGTGTCATCACAGATAGGTTGCTGAATTGCCTACTTCGTTCCCTGGCCACTCTTTATGTACATGGAACCTATACCTCCAGTGCAGAATGGCTTCTGTTAAGGTGTTTGCTTTTGTAGGCGGAGCTTATAGCGCTGAGACAGAAGCTAGAAAAGTCAGAGAGGTCTCGGAATGATCTGCGGCAGAACACAGACCTTCTGGAGAGCAAGGTAGCCCCATCCCTCCTGTGTGGGGTCCCTGTGCGGGGGGAGGTCTGCTGATGGAGAAGGTGACGAGGATGAGCCTGGCATCGTGCTAAGTGCCTTCGGGCCTCCTCAGAGTAACCCCGTGAAGTGCATGCTGTTACTGTCCTCGTTTTACAGAGGAGGAAACTGAGGCTCTGGAATATTAGGTACCTTCCCCAGGCCACACAACCAGCAAGTATAGAGCTGAGATTCAAACCCATGTCACTTGGCTCCAAAGGGAAGAATTTCTTCAATAAGTCACAAAAGCACAAATCACAGGGGGAAAATGATCACTGTGACCCCAGTAAAGTAATCAACTTCTGATTGTCAGAGCATAAAATGGAGACACACCACATACTGGGAGATGAAATTTGCAACACATATAATTGATAAAGAGTAACCAGGATATGTAAAGAATTTCCTCAAATCAACTGGAAAAAAGGCAAACACTCCAGTTTTAAAAAATGGGCAAAAATTAGGAATTGGCAGTTCCCAGGAGCAAGAGTTCTGATGATCAGGAATTCAGATGGCCAATAAACTCATGAAAAGATGAGCAACTAACTAGCAATCAGGAAATGTGAATTAACACAATAGGTGTCATTTCACGCTTCAGATGGGCAAAATCCAGAAGTCTTATGTAGCCAAGTGCTGGCAGGGGCGTAGCAGCAGGAGCTCATGCTGCTGGTGGGAGTGTAAATTGATCTCATGGCTCTTGAACAATCTAGCATTATCTCTGAAAGATGAAGCTGCCTGTACCCTGTGGCCCAGCAATTCCACTTCTAGATACACATGCAGGAGAAACTCTCTCACCTAAATGAAAAGACAAGAAGCTTATAGCAGCAACATTTGTCATGTTGAAGAAATATGAACACCCGAAAGGGAGTCTGTTGACAGAATGGATGAACACATTTTGTTATACTAAAAACTCAGTTACCAAAGTGAAAATGGATAAAGAGGCAGGCGAACTATGGCCCACAGGGCAAATGCATCTCGCCACCTGTTCTTTGTAAGTTTTACGGGCACACGGCCACGCCCATTCACCTGTGCCTAGTCTCTGGCTGCCTTCGTGCTGCAGAGGCAGAGTTGAGCAGTTGTGACAGACTGTATGACCTGCAGAGATTAAAATATTTACTGTCTGGCTCTTATAGCAGACGTTTCCTGACCCTTCAGCCAGAGATACATGAACCAACATGGATTGCCCTCGAAAACAAAATGCTGAAGGAAAAGGATTACTTTACAAAAGAATGCCTAAAATATGTTACAGTACATATCAGTTTTTAAAATGTGCACAACAGCACTATACAGTGATTGGGGAATACACCTATGTAGTTAGGGTGTAAAGATATTCATGGGAATAATAATGCCGGATTCTGCATAGTGGCCGACTCTGGGGGATGGAAGGGACACGCGACTGGGGAAGGTTGGGCTGGGGTGTGTGTGACTGCAGGCTGGGGTTTTCTCTCTTTGGCTGGGGATTGAGTTCGTGGGCTGGGGATGAAGACGTGAACCGGATGGCCCTGCCCCCAAGGAGACCTCAGATTACAGACCCCTACACGTCTTCATTCCGTATAATGTGGGGGCACGGTCACTGAGCTGTGGGGAGACCACGAAAGAGCTCTCCAAGGAAAACTTGCCATCCCATTCAGCTCTCGGGGCCCGGATGAGGGTGAGGAGAAGAAGGCATGTGTCTGAGGCACAGAATTAAAAGGGGCACCAAAAAACTCAGCGAGATAAATAATATTTAATGCACTATCTTTTAAGAGGTAAATTGAATGCAAAAAATCCAGGATTGGGCTTCCCTGGTGGCGCAGTGGTTGAGAGTCCGCCTGCCGACGATGCAGGGGATGTGGGTTTGTGCCCCGGTCCGGGAAGATCCCGCATGCCGCGGGGCGGCTGGGCCCGTGAGCCATGGCCGCTGAGCCTGCGCGTCCGGAGCCTGTGCTCCGCAATGGGAGAGGCCACAACAGTGAGAGGCCTGCGTACTGCAAAAAAAAAAAAAAGAGAAAAATTCAGGATGAGCAGAATATCAGAATTTTAAATAAATGCAGGGTTTACGGGTCAAGATTAGGGTGAGGCAAGTGACGAACTCCGCATGGTGGGATCCTGTCTTGATTCTTTATTTAAAAGTTTGATATTTTAGTTATCACAGATTTTTGGCATTAATTTTGATTTTCTTAAAGATTGCGTTAACGTTTTTAATTTGTCTCGATTTCTGAGGTTTTCGGTGCTCCCTTCAATTTTGCACCCTAGTTGAATGCTTCGCTGCCTTTCTTCAGGAAGCCCTGGGTACCTCACAGGCTTCTGGTGGAGTTCAGGTGGAGCTTATTTCTTCCCTTGTTCATCACATACTGTGTCTGAGCATCTCCCGTGTGGCAGACATTCAACCGGACCGACCCCTTGGATACAGCCAGGGACAAAGCAAAGTCCCTGTCCTCACAAAGTCTCCAGGCCAATAGAGGGAGACAGATCACAAGTAAATAAACACGCAAACTAGTTTCAGATCGTGGAGTGCTGCAGGTATTAAGCAGAGCGAGGTGACAGTGGAGGGAGGTCAAGTGGGGGCCGGTGTTTCCTGAGTGGTCAGGGAAGACTTCTGTGGACTGAGATATTTGAATGTAGATCTGAACGATTTGCTGTACCCGTTTCTGTGCAGATCTGGAGGAAGGGTAGAAACAGCAAGTGCAAAGGTCCTGAAGCAACATGAGATAAAGCTCAGTCCAGAGCAAAGCTAGAGCGTTCTCTGCCGGCGAGGCTGTGATGTTGTCATTACTGGTAATGTTGCTTGGTTTGGTTGATGGCTAATGGGGACTGAAATTAGATTCACCATCAAGCCAACATAACTCAACCTTCACTCTACGTTCACAGCCTGAGTTGAGCCTCGCTGGCTCACGTGGGGCATGGAATGAAGTTGGGGTGGGGGGCTGTCTCTTTTCCACCCTTCTCATCCTCCCCGTGATTGTGTCCACTCTCCCCACCAAGGGTCCTCTGTCTGCTTAATCCATACCCACGGTCAGGCAAGAGGCAGGGGCCCCTGGAAGGGAGAGTCACGTCTGCACACAGAGTTAGGAGAAGCTGGACGGGCGGGGCTGCTGCGCCATGAGCCGGTGCCCTTCTCGTGGACGAGACTGTGAGGCGGAGACGAAATGACAACTGAGAGCGCCTTACGTTCTCCATCGAGGCTCCAGAGGGCCAGCGGCCTGACCTCTCTTGCTGGAAGTAGCAGCAGAAGCAAAAAATCGGAGCTCTGTGGGCTGGTGGGGAATATCGTTGACTTCCCGGTAGAAATTCCTTCCCGCCGAGCTGACACTTGATGCAGTAATTCATCTCGAGCTGTCAGGTTGGACTTGGGAGTTTGCGATGTGTCAGCTGCTGGGGGAGACTTGGAGAGAGGGATGCGGTGAGCATCTTTAGCATCTAGAGCTCCAGCTTATGGGACGCTGGGAGGAGAGAGGGAGGGAGCCAGGCTTCTGAGACCTGAACCAAGCAGAGATGTGTCAGCACCTACGGAATATTCTGTCCAGGCTCTTTTTGTCTTTGTATCACACACGGTTGAATGCATGGGGCCTTGAAAAAATAAGATAAAAATTTAAAGCTAAGAAAATCAGAGCAAAGGGAACTAAGAGTTGAGGAATATACAAAGCCAGGAAAAGAGTTAGAATATAGACATTTACCATTGGCCTCTGACTCACCCTTACTTCACAGCCTTTGCCTGTGCTGTTCCCTCTGCCTGGAACATTCCTCTCCACCCTCTTCACCTGGTAAATGTCTGGTCATCCCTTATTACTGAGTTCAGGTGGTGCTTCCTCCAAGAAGCCTTCCTTGACCCTCTAAGGGTGGGTTAGGCCCCCACTATATTCTACCCCTGGCCCTGTGCTTCCTTCCTCTCACAGCATTGATTGGTGCAACCTAATCACCTCCTGTGTCCCAGCTAGACTGGGAGAACCCAAGGGCAGGGATGTGTCTTGCTCATCACGTCAGCCCGGCCCCAGGTACAGAATAGACACAGAATGGGTGAGTGGAACCTTTCAAAGTGGGCCGAAATTTTGACACTGAGCTTCCTAGCAACCAAAGCAAAGAGGAAAACAGGATATTCCATAGACATGTTGTGCCTAGGTTAAACACACACACACACACACACACACCCACACACACACCTGTTGCTTGAGAAAAAAGTAACTTTTCAGGGTATTGAGATAATCTAGATATTAGAGAAGTTTCTTTGGTAGCATCTCCTTGAAATGCAAGCCAAGGGTGTGATGCCAGTGCCATAAAGAGAATTCAGCCAGGAGTCAAAGCAGCGCTTTATCCAGGAAGCACATTTAGATGACTGAGTGTTAGGATTTCTTCCTCTTCCTTCTCAAACCCCCCTTTCTGCTGCCTCTTCTTCTTCCTCCAGTTTCTCCTTTCCTTCTGCCTTTTAGACTTTATGGTAAGGTCCAACATATAAAAAAGTGCCCACATCTTAAGTGTACAGCTTAATGAATTTTCACAAAGTGGACACACCAATGCAACCAGCACCCAGAGTGTGACACAGGTCACTCCGAGCTTCCCTCAGATTCCCCCCTGGTGCCCCCTTTCAGCCACTACCCTCCACCCGTAACCACCAAACTGACTTCTGACACTATAGATTAGTTCTCTCCCTGTTTCTGCACTTTACCTAAATTCATCAAAGATGCGTACTCATTTGTGTCTGGTTTCTTTCATTTGACATCATTTGTGCCATTCATCCACCTTGTCATGGGTGATGGTGGATCACTCCCTCCCTTTGCTGTAGAGTAGTCCATTATGCACAGAGACCACTTTCTATCCCTTCTACTCTAAAGGAACATTCAGTTGTTTCTCTTTTTCAGCTATAAAGAACAAGCCTGCTGTGAACATCCTCACACGTGTCTTTTGGTGCACAGGTCATACACTTCTGTTAGGAATACACTTAGGGATGGAATGGCTGGGTTTTAAGTTGTTTCTGTGTTCAGTTTTCGTAGATG